GACTCCCAAATATTTGCAAAGCAACTATCTTTGTGATCTTGAGCATGGTAATGATAATTTATTTCATCCTTCATCCACCACAAATGCAAATATGTAGCCTTTGGTGTTTCTGACTAGACTTCTCCTGCCTCCTGCAAACATATTTATTATAAGTGTTTTATTATTTTCTCAACTGACAAAATTCACCATGGTGTTAGATGTTAACAATTGACAGTCAGATCAAAGTCTTGGAGCAATAACAGGTAAGGTATTTAGATGAGGTTTTCTGCTTTATCACAGATTCTGTTATCAGTTTCTTTCTGATGAATTACTCTATGATAAATATCATATCATAAGTTAAGTTTGAAAAGAAGTTTCAGTATTTTATGAATTAGTGTGATATATCTCAAATTATCTCCTTTATTGGCCATCTCATAGGCTTAAAGAAATTTAAGGTAATTTGACTCATTATAATTTGCACATTGACAGCTGACATCTGTCATTAATATAGGGCCTCAGTTCACTAGATCCCTAAATATGAATCATTCACAAAAAATAGGAGAGGGAAAACAAATTAAAGTTCTGAACAATGACTTGTAGATATTCTGGTATTTTTTGCTTTTCAGCCAGGATCCATCGGATATGAGCAATAAGATCCCTTGTGCCATAGCCGCTTTTAAATCCAACTTGAACTTCTGGTAGTTCTCTGTCAGGGTATTGTCTAAGACCTTTTTAAATAATCTTTAGGAGTATTTTGGTTGTATATTATATTTTTTCAATAATTTACTATTCTACTGGATCACCTTCCTTGGAAATGGGAACAAATATACTGGATTTCTTACAGCCAGGCAACTGTCCTCTAGGCCAGAATGGTAAGAATTTCTAGACCAAAATGGTAAGAATATCCAGGGTTGCATCTGTCATTTGAAATATGTCAATTAGTATCCCCAAGTATTCTTGGGGTGTTATTTTTGCTAATGACTTCACTGTAGCTTGAACTTTTTCCTTCATTACCTTAGGTTCTTAATCATGTGGTACTTCCCAAAATGCTTCATTCCTTTCATCTTCTTTTAATGCTTCTTGAATCAATCAAGATTTGTCCATAGCATTTCTAAGTATTAAAAATTGAGGCCTGAATTTGTTTTTCAGTTCTTTCAGCCTGAGAAATTCTATATGAATTCTTCCCTTATTATTATCAACTTTTAGGTCTCTGCAAATTCTGTCCAGATAGTTTTCTTTGTCTTCTCCAGCTGCTCCTTGAAGAGTCTATTAAGTCCTTCTACTTCAACATCCTTTCCCTTTGTTTTGGCTTCTTGACGCTCTAGTGCAGTTGTCACGAGTCTCTTCTGACATCCATTTTGGTTTTTCTTCTCCTCTTGTCTTTACAGTGACCTTTTGTTTGGATCATACTCTTGATGTTAGCCAACAATTCATCTGCTCTTCATTCACTGCTGTTCAATGTTTCAAATTATTGTCAAAATAGATAAGAATTTATAACAAAATTCAGACTAAAATTTTCATTAATTGTATACATTCAATGCTCGACAACATTCAATGGTTTATTACAAATCATTACCTTTTAAAAGACACAAACCATGACTTCATACATGGACCTCACCAGGTGGACTGTATAATAATCAGATTGACTGCATCTGTGGAAGAAATCACTGGAGAAGCTCACTATGAGCAATCCAAACCAGACCAGCTGCTGACTGTGCAGCAGACCATCAATTACTCACATGCAAGTTCAAATTTAGGCCGAAAAAAATTGAAACAAGTCCATGTGAAACAAAACATGATTTCAAGTGTAGTGACTAGGCACTAATTATATGAAATATTTATATTTCATTCTGTCACATCCAAGTGAATAAAATTAGTATTGCTCTAATTAATCTCTCAGCAGATAAATACCATTAAATCTTTCAATGTTGTTATGTTCTGTTGAGTTGGAACCAATTCATAGCTAACCGTCCAGGAGGTTTTCAGAGGCACTAAATGACACTGCTGGAGACTGCCTGTCTTTCTTGCATAGAATAACTGGTGGTTTTAACTGTGTGCATTTGGGATTGCAGCAAACTATCTCATTACTAGGCCACTACTAGGCTACTACTAGCTCCTTAAATCTTCCAGTAGAGCCTCAGAAATAACCAAAGAGGACTATAAATAGATGATGTTTCTCCTTTCATTTCTGTATCTCCCTCATCATCTTAATGCCATAGCTATTGAGTCAGAACCAACTCATACCTGACCCTCCATTAGGTTTTCAGAGATTATAAATCACTCAGGAAGAGATTTTGCATCTTTCTCCTATAGAATAGCTGGTGGATTTTAACTACCTGGCTTTGACTTAATAGCACAACTCCTTACCAACTAGAACTAGGCCACCAGAATTCCCTTTCTATATGGGGTGTGTGTGTGGGTGCACTTCTTGTAGCTCTTATAGCCTACTTGTTAAAAGTTACAGTGCAATCATTAAGGCATGCTGTTTGAATCCACCAGCTGCTCTGAAGGAGAAAAATGGACAATCTTCTCCCTGGTAATTAACTGCCTCTAGAAAGCCCCTGGAGGCTCATCTATGGGTCAATTATGACCGATGACACACATGAAAAACATTTGCCTTAAAAAAAACTGTCTTCTAATAAGGAAATTTCTCAGTGACTTTCACTCACATTGCCTTAGTTGTTCCCTCCACTCTGACCATACAAAATATTTGATATAACTTTTTATTGTCTCATAAGAGAAACATAATCATAAAGATAAAAAAAACCAAGGAAAACACTGCTCCATATGAAAGTATAGCACAGGAGGACTTGTTCTTAGTCTGTTTTACTTGATATGCTTTTTCAAGTATAAAAATGAATCTATTCAGTTATTTTTCAAATGATATAAATTATTTTTCAAGCTTGTTAGAGTCTTAACCAAGAAGATAGTTCTGTTATTCCAGAGGGTTTGATTCCAATTTTATTATAGATGCAGTGCACGGTGAAGCAATAAAAATATCTGCCAGTCCTCCATTAATGTTTTATTTGGACTCAAAAGAACTCAAGCCTTCCTTTGTAAACAGTCATACTTGTATAAATCATAGGATATTATTTTATAGAACTAAAAGGGGCCTTTAAAATCTGTCATCTTAACTGTTCTTTTCTTATTATGGAGGAAAAAAAATTAACAAATTGGGCAAGCAACTTGTGTTCAGCTTCAGGACCCAGGACTCACAATGACTGCCTGAGAATTGGTTGCAGAACCCTTTTCTGAGCCAAAAAGATCTGGAGAGATCACAGCATCCATAGCAGCTGCCTCATTCACTGGTGTGGTGGGTCATAGTGTGAGATAATCAGAGGCTTTTTTCTTTTACTCTGCACCTGGAAGAGCACATTGCTAATTCCCTCACAGATGCCAACAGGCATTCAGGCTAATAGACTGCCATTCAGATTAACCAGAGCATGTCCTACATGCTACTGCAGACTGACTCACTATGGGACTATTTCTAAAGAGGAGGGGGCTTAAATAAAAGCCTGGCTTACTTTGCATTTCTATTAAGTGTCCCTGGAATAATTGTCATTTTATTTGGATCAGCTATGTAAGAGAAATTCCTTTAGATCTGAGTATTGAAGTAAGAAAGCACACAGAGTGTAGAAGAAAGTAATTCATTATAGAGTTTCATATAGTCCTGAAATATTAAACTATATGCAACTAATTATCTTTTATAGTTTTGTAACATAAAAAGTTAAAAATAAAAATTTTAGTCTTTATCTCAAGGAAACCTACTATTAATAAATATTGTTTTGTACCAATTGTTTAACTATACCTCATAGTAACCGTACGAACAACATATCTGAACCTTATCCTATCTTGCACCATCCTCATGATCTCTGCCATGCTCGAGCTTATTGTTGTAGGTATTCATCTATTAGGTTGTCTTACTGTGGAGGTTTGCATGTTGCTGTGACACTGGAAGCTATGCCACCAGGATTTTTAATCCCAGCAAAGTCACTCATACTGAACAGGTATAAAGAGAGTCAGACTAAGAAACAGGATTTGTCATCCACTTCTGAAATAACAGGCCTACAAAAAGGAGCAGATGCACCGTGAGGGTGGCTGAGCCCAATTTCTACCCACTGCATAAAGAGGAACTGTTCCCATCAATAATATCCATAGTACCAAAATGACTACAATTAGACATGCACCCTCCCCATGTTCCTACCTCTTTTCCTACCAATCATTGGATCTGAAATAATTTCAAGAATCACAGACTCTATTCACAGTTGTGTGATTAATAAGGAAAATAGGTTGGAGAGTGGAGGAGGCAGAGAATATTTGCAGGATATGTCCAGCTTTAGTCCAGCAGTCCCAGCCATATTAACAGTAAGATACAATTCCTCAAGTAGTCAAAGTCCAGGTTTAGTTCAATAACACAAATGTAAGAAGCCTCTGATTTCCTCAAACATCTATTAAACTTTACTGCAGAGAGGTTATAATAATTCATATAGAAAAAGAAATTAACTATTCCCTGTATCTCCAGGGTTTCTCTAGTAAAACCTTGCCATAGTCTCTTCATTAGCAGTGCCACAGTCTATTCAGTCTCTCCACCACCATTTTTCACAGTGTTGAAAGTTCTTATTTATATTGACCCACAGCTGTTCATGATTCATAAGGCTATGTGTCTGCAGTTCACATATCCAAAGAACATGCCTCCCAACAGGGGCTAACACAATGACTAGAAAAGTCAAATTTCAAGGATTCTGACACCTCAAGGCCTTTGAACACACTAGTATGAAATAGTTCATGGATGTAAGCTTCATGTTGTTGAAGTTGAAAATATAGGCATTAAATTTATACATTTGACATTAATTGAAGAATTATCAAAAATAGTGTAAATAGAATTCATCAAAGTAGAATTTCTTGATGAACCTTAGATATTAATGTTTTATTTTATTTATATTTTCAGATGTTGAAGGCTTTGGTTTTGCTTATGTTTTATCATTTATACATGTTTCTAAAGGAAAACATTTCTTTTCCAGTGGTGAACTGTTCTGATCCAGGCTTTGTGGAAAATGCTATTCGTCATGGGCAACAGAATTTCCCTGAGAGTTTTGAATATGGAATCAGTGTCATGTATCATTGCAAGAAAGGATTTTACTTGTTGGGATCATCTGCCTTAACCTGCATGTCAAATGGCTTATGGGATCGTTCTTTACCCAAGTGTTTGGGTAAGTGTGGATGATTTTGGATTTTTCCGCTACAAAAGCCTAGACATTATCACCAAGATTTTTTTTTCATGTGTTCAAAAGGTATTAGTTTTATAGTCTACCTACCCGTCTACTACAAATTGTATTACTTCCTGGAATACCTTTAGATACATTTCACAGAAAAGAGCTCCAACTCAAGTAGTTTCAATGGTAGAAAAAAAGAAACCCTGGATTGCTTATGTATGTGGAGGTGTAAGCACTTGGCTCGGAATTAAGTGGGCCAATATTATCAGACAAGACTTTGACACATTCTCTCTACTCCTGGTCTACTTATTCAGTTTAAGCAAGATTTATTCCACACAGTTCAGTGAGGGTTTTTGGCCTGACAAAAAACAAGCAAACAAACTTCATCTCTCAGTTTCACTCTCTGGTTTCAAGTTCAGAAATAATTTAAAAAGATTCTGATAGGGTTAATTTGGGTGGGCGGATTATTTATAGACATAGCACCTGTTGCCAAAAACATGGAATACTCTGAGTGACATAATGGGGGTCTCATTAGCTGGTCACTAATAGTTCCATCTAGAATGACTCTTATAAAAGATGGTAGATTAATAGTATTTTCACTGAACCATTTAATTATGTAGAGGAGGACATAGTCCTTATAAAAAGATGGTAGATGAGTAGTAACTTCCCTTTGTATAGCTTTAATGTACTTAGGGGAGGACATAGTCCTCTAAAGGATGGAAGAGCAAATGGGAAGGATCCAGGAGAAAAGACAGAGTAATGGTGGGCAAAGTCCAATGGGAATTGATTTTCTAAAATATGAGAATGATTGAATGAAACACAATTATGAGTGAGTAATAGTGTGAAACATAATCTATACAAACTTTGTAAGCAAACCAATTTTAAAAAATAATGTAAAATAGAATGTATATGAATGTGTGAACAATACAAATGAACATTTTATAAAACAATGTATATGAATAAAACACAATGAAAAATAATTATTATATGAAAACTAGAAAAAAAATTAAAAATTAAAGGGTGGAAGAGCACTTTTAAGTATATAAAATTATAACTTATCTATTACTATTGAGTTAATTCCTATTCCCAAAACTCCATAGAACAAAGTAGAGCTTTCCCATGTTGTATCTAAGGTTGCTTTTTTTTTTTTTTTGAGACAGTTATAGTTTTCTCCTTAAAAGCAGTCTGTGGCTTTGGTCTGTCACCATATTTCCTTAGCTGTGCCACCAGGATTTCTATAGATTGCTACTTTTTTATCCCCTCACACCCATTACCAACAAGTTGTAAGCAACTATCACTGACCCTTCAATTATTTTTCAAAGGTTGTCCTCCTTATGACTTAATTTCTCTATATTTTATACTATATATTGTTGTTGTTATTTGTCATCAAGTCGAATCTGACCCATAACTGACGCTGCAGAAAGTTTCCAGAGGCAATAAATTGCTTGGGAGGAGATTGTCCGTCCTTTTCCCACAGAGAAGCTGGTGAATTCGAACCACATGTCTTTGAAATTGCAGCACAACTTCTTATCAGAGAACATATGCAATATAGATAAGGAGAAAGAAAATGCTTTACCCAAATGATGGAAGGCTGTGTCTCTTTGACTTAGAAATTTCTATCTTAGCTCAAAATTATCATCCTTTTACAATATAATTAGAAAATGTTGTTGTTGTTGTTGTTGTTAGTTGCCATTGAGTTTAGTACGACTCATAGCAACTCTTTGAACAAAAGATCTGGACCTTGTTCTATCCTGTGCCATCCTCATACCTTCTGACACACAAGAGGACATTGCAGTGTTATACTGTATCACTCCACCTGGTTGATGGTCTTTCTTTTTTTTGCCAACCTTCCATCCTTCTCAGCACCGTGTTCCGCTCCAAGGAATAGCCCCTACTAGCAACCTGCCGAAAGTATATGAGGCAAAGCCTCATCATTTTTGCCTTTGAAGAACACTCTTGCTATACCCTCTCCATGACATATCCATTTGTTCTCCTGGATGTCCATGAGATTTCAGTGCTCTTCTTCAACACCACAGCTCAAAGGTGTCAATTCTTCTCCTGTCATCCTTATTTATTGTCCAGCTCTCAGATGCATAGCATGTAATAAGAAAGACTATGGCATCATTGCAGAGACACAAAATGTATTCTCTTTGTCTTTCTGAAGCAAGCTTGAGGTAAAGAAATTATAAAATCAAGCTCGTATCTTTTATAAATCTAATTGAAATTGATATAGACCGAGGGAAATTACATTTGTTATGAATTGAATTTACAAAAAAATTTTTTTCATTTTGCAATTCTAACATTGTTAATGTGTTTCAATAACGGATTCACCCTGGAGCCATTTTCTTCCCCTGTAATGTGTTGTCTTTCTAATTCATAGTAACATTGAAACTTGTCTCAAAATGACACCTACAGAAATAAAGTTAATATTCATGGTCTAACACAGTGATCTATTGGGAAAAAAGACAAAGAAACAATGCCAACCCTAGATGGCAAATAAAATTATTTTATAAATATATTATGTTCATCAAACTATACATGAATTTTAATTTTCTTTTCTTCACTCTTTAATTTTTTTAGACAAAACAAAGCATACTTTGTTTGCTCTTTCAAAATGTTCCTTTTCAATTTGCACTGCAGCTTTGTAAGACTTCTATTAGTTTGTGCAATGATACTAACGTGTTTTGAATCTCTAGGAACTAGGTCTTCAGTCAGTCTCATTTTTCAAGGTGGTTAGTTCCCACTACTTATTGTCATTAACAATTGGAATTATTATGAATGTGGGAACAGAAAGATCTCAGAGGAGTATTTTGCTTTTACATGCTCTACAGCAGCTAAGCTCCATCTCTCAATTTGCTTTTATATCATTTCTCTGATTTTTTTTCTCCTTTTCATTCACTCACAAATGATCATTTGCAAACAATTTTACTGACCAAGTCTAATTGGCATCTTTTAAATAATAATCTTTGTTTCCAAGATAGAAATGAATGTCAACTTAAAAAGACAGTGAGGGTTTACGTGACTCAGTGGATAGATAATGGCATTCAACCTTTAAGTCTACCCCTCCGGTTGATGTCACTTACAGGTTACTAGTGACCAAATGCAAATACTTTAGAATGTTAAATCAGATAATTTTGAGCAAGTCTTTGGAACTCTCAGTCAAGTTAACTATTTACACACATACACACAATACAAAATATGTCATTATGAGCCCTAATAAAAGATGTATGCAAAGGTAGATATAATTCTTACTATGTTTATCTTGTTTCCAGAATTTTTTTATTTGTGCTTTCTGAGTAGATTGTGGGCATCATCTAGTATATTTTTCATTAAACAAATGGAAATACTGAAATTCTATAGTATTTTAAAGGACTATTTAATCACTAATATAATATTCATATTATTATTGCTATTTTACATAAACATTAGTCCATGATATATTAAAAAAAAGACAGTGGTTTACTTATGTGGTGTTGTTGTTGTTAAGTGCTGTGGAGTCATAGATGACTCATGACAACCTTATGAACAAAAGATCTGAACAATTGTATAACTTTCATCATTTCTCCAAGTTCATAGAGGTTTCAGATGAAAGTTATTTTGGAATTGGATGCATTCCTGCTTCCAAGCTTGTTTTAGTCAGGGAGCTCCACCAAACACTGTCCGCCATGGGTAACTGTGATGCCACTTGATGCAACAGTGTCAACAGTGTTTAGCATCACTGCAACCACGAGTTACCTCTGTACAGCAAATGGACAGGCCTGTGCTATACCACTTAGAGTAATGCTTGACCAAAAACAATTAAAATCAGGCCTGAGGGCTGCAAATTAAAATCACCCACCCTTGACTTGATAGCATAACAAACTTTCTCTCTATCAGGCCCACAGAACTCTCTCTATACCTAGGTGTATAAATTGAAAAACACATTTGACAAAATTTTTATATGGTTAGAAGTATAGAATTGTAATATTAGCTGAAGGAATTATGGGAATATTTTTTATAAATGTATAAATTACTTCCTATGTAAAAAAAAAATAGATTCTTACCACTGGACCCTTAGGCAACATAATGATGGATGGAGAAGAGATTGAAATTGTCAACAACTTCTTACTTGGATCCCCAATTAAACCCCACCCCCTTAGTACCACTAGTCAGGAAATAAGGAGAGACACATTGTGTTGGGAAAACTTTCAGTTAAGGACCTCTCCAAATTATTGAAGAGTAATAATGTCAAGGTGAGGACTAAAGTGCATCTGATTCAGATTATAGTCTCTCCGATCACTTGCTATACATCTGAGAGCTAGCCAATGAGTAAGGATGACAGAAGAAGAATTGATGACTTTGAGATGTGGTGCTGGAGAAGAGCCCTGAACATCTGATGGACAACCAGGAGAACAAATGGATATATATGTCTTGGGGAGGGTTCAACTGGAGTGCTCTTTGGAGCAAGAAAAATGAGGGTTTGCCTCACATACTTTGGGCATGTTGCTAGGAGGGGCTATTCCTTGAAAAGGAACATAATGCTGCCAAGGGTGGAGAGTCGGCAAAGGAAAGGAAGACCCTTGACCAGGTGGAATGACATAGTGACTGCTTCAATGGGCTTTTGTGTCTTAGGAAGTGTGAGGATGGTACAGGATTGAACATGAGTCAGATCTTTCATTTATAGGGTTGCTATGAGTCATACTCAATTCAAACGCACCTAACAACAACATATTACTATAAGATGGATTATTTGTGATACAGTACATCAAAATAATTTAGGTAACAGGACTTTAAAAAATATAAATGTAAATATATACCTTAAATAGTTACCTTAAAATCAAACATATCTTCATGAACAGAACCTTTCATTACCTTCAGCAATATATGATTATTTAGGGAGGAGAATATGTTCTCCTAAAAGTTTATATTTTCTATTGTGATAGTTTTCATTCATAGGTTATTTTTGCATGATAGTCTGGTATGTTGTGTGACTTAGCAAAGCACTTTCATGGGATTATTGTGCAGTCAATGAAGGAATTTGATTTGAAGTCATATTTAAGTTTCATTTGTTCCTAAATAACTTGGAAAAGTTAAGTATCCTTTATACTTAATATCAATTAGTCAAATGTATCTTTTATACATACTTTATTACCATCAAGTCAGAATCATTATGTGATGCTCCAGAAGGTTTCCAAAGCTGTAATTTCAAGGAAGGAGATTTTCCATCTCTCTCCCAGAAAGCTGTTGGTAGACTCAAACTTTCAAAGAAGCACAACTAGCTTCTCTGTAAGAGGCAGTTGGACAATTCCCTAAAACATCCTAAATATAATACAGTAATAATGATAATGCATAATTATAATAATTGATTGTGTTATAAGTAAGTAATATAGTAATAAATACATAATGTAGTATTATAGTAAGTTTTTCATGCAAAATAGTAGGAGTGTTTTACAATACATTTAATATATCTAAAGTGTGTAATAGAAAAAATATTTACATGTGTTAATTCACAAATATATATTGTAAATCAGATTATTGTAGCCTAAGAACTGCCCATATTCATTTTTATGCACTTTTTTTCTTCCTTAAGCTATATCATGTGGTCATCCTGGTGTACCTGCAAATGCTATTCTTACTGGAGAACTGTTTACATATGGATCCATAGTTTACTACTCATGCAAAGGAAGCCGAAATCTTATAGGCAATAATTCTAGAGTTTGCCAAGAAGATAGTCACTGGAGTGGAACACTACCCCACTGTTCAGGTAGAATTATACAATTATTTGAAATATTTACTAAGTGTCCATTTCTTTAAAATATTATTTTTAATTTACATCCACATAGGCCATTATTGCTTATTGTCACTATCATATTCATAATAATCATCATCATCATGAAACACCTATCAGTTTGAATTTTTTTCCACCGAGTCTAGAAGGTTTTTTTTTTTATAACTTTAGCATGAAGATTGTTTAACTTGCCTTTAGTTTGTACCTCTTCTTCAGTGATCCTTTACTATAAATTATCTTATTATTCTATATTTCTCCATGGAACTCCAGACATAATTTAAAAGATCCAGAGATCTCCACAGAGTTTTATATTCCTAATGTACATTGTAAAGGAGGCTGGGCTCTATGAGGAGGAGTATGGCATCAGGACTGGAATAAGACTCATCAATAACATGGGTTAGGCAGATGACACAATCCTGCTTGCTGAAACTGAGGAGGATCTGATGTACTGTATTTGCTGCAGAAGGTCAAGGGCTGCAGCCTTTAATATGGATTGAAGCTCAACATCAGGAAAAAGATTCTCACCACTGGGCCAACTGGCAGAATCATGATAGATGAGGAAGAAATTGAGATTGTTAACAGCTTCAGTTTGCTTGACTCCACAATCAACACTCTTGGTACCAATAGCCAGGAAATCAAAAGATGAAGTGCATTGGGAAAGTCTGCTTTCAGAGAATTCTCCAAAGTACTGAAGAAGAGCAATATCAGTCTGGAGACTTAGGTGTGTCTTAATCAGGCCACAGTCTTTGCAGTTACTTGCTATGCATCAGAAAGCTGGACAATGACTAGGGATGATAGAAAGAGAATTGATGTCTTTGAGCTGTGGTGCTACAGAAGAGTATTGAATATACCATGGACTGCTAAGAGAACGAACAGGCTTGTCCTAGAGAGAGTGGAATAAGGCTGCTCTTTGGAGGCAAGGACTCTGAAGCTTCATCTAACATACTTCAGACATGTTTCAAGAAGAGATCAGTCCTTGGAGAGGAACATCATGTTTCTAAGGGTGGAGTGTCAAAAGCACAAGAGAGGAAGACCCTGGATGAGATGGATTGACCCAGAGACTGGAGTAATAGGGATAGGTGTGTCAAACAGTAAAGTTGGCACAGGATAGAGTAGGGTGTAGAGCAGCTGTATATAGTGTCTCTATGAGTTATAGGCAACTCAACGGCACGTAACAACAACAGTATACCTCATTACATTATGTTGAATTCATAGTCAAAAAATCAGTTTCAAGTTCTATCCTGAAATACAGTGTTGTGAAAAATATTATCCATACACATACAAGGAAGACTTTGTGTCATATTTTTAATACGATTATTATTCAAATATATATTCCTACAGTAAAAGCCAAAGAGGAGGAATTTGAAAATTTGTATCAAATCATGCAGCCTGAAATTAACCAAATATGTGATTGAAATGCATTAATTATAATTGGTAACTGGAATGCAAATATTGGAAACAATGAAGAAAGAAGAGTAATCTGAAAGTATGGGGTTTGTAGTACAAATAAGCCTGCAAATAGAATGATTAAATTTTTAATTTTCAGTGATTAACTCATTGCAAATCCTTGTTTAAAAAACACACAAACAGTAACTTTGTACATGGAACTTGCCTGATGAACTTCACAGGGATCAGAATGACTACATTTGTGGAAGGAATTATTGGAGAAGGTCAATATCAGGAACCAAACCACTCCAGGGACAGAGTATGGACCAGATCATCAATTACTCATGTACAAGTTCCAAGTGAAATACATGGAAACAAGTCCATAAGAATCAAACTATGATCTTGAATCTATTCCATGTGAATTTCAAAATAATCTTAAACATAGGTTTGAACCATTGAATATAAGTGGCCAAAGACGAGTTGTGGGATGACATTCAGACTATCATCCATGAAGAGAGTAAAAGGTCATTTACAAAGATGATGAAAGAAAGAAAGAAGAAAGAAAGAGAGAGAGAGAGAGAGAGAGAAAGAGAGAAAGAAGGAAGGAAGGAAGGAAGGAAGGAAGGAAGGAAGGAAGGCAGGCACACCCGAAATTGATGTTGAAAGAGAGTCTGAAAATTATACAAGAGCATCAAGAAGCCAAAACAAAAGAAAAACATACCGAAGAACAAGAGCTGAACAAAATATTTCAAAGAAAAGTTTAAGAAGCAAAGCAAAGGATGTGCATAGAGCTGTAACTGGGAGGACTAAAAAATAAAATTAAGCCTCAGTCACAATATTGAAAGATGCCATGAGAAATATGTTGAATGATCCAGAAAACATAAAAAAATAAGATGGAGGGAATACACAGAGTCACTAGACCAAAGAAGTACTGATTTATAATGAAACATTTCAGGAAGTAGAATATAAGCAGGACCCAGTGTTAATGAAGAACAAAGTTGAAGCTACACTGAAGACATTGGCAAAAAATAAGACCCCAGGAATTGATGGGATATCGATTGACTTGTTTCAGTTAACATATGCAGCCCTGATGTGCTCACCAGTCTATCCTAGTAAATTTGGAGGACAGTTATCTGGCCAATGGATTGGAAGAGGTTCATGTTTGTTCCTATTCCCAAGAAAGGTGATTTAATTGAATGTGGAAACTATTGAGCAATATCTTTAATATCATATGCAATGGAAATACTGATGATGATCCTTAAAAAATGGCTAAATCAGTACATAGTTAGGGAACTACCAGAGGTTCAAGTAGCATTTAGAAGAGGCCATGGCACTGGGAATAACAATGCTGATGTCGGATGGATCCTGGCTGAAAAGCAAAGAATAGCAGAAGAGTATCTCTCTCTCTCTTTTTTTTTAATGCATTATACACTATGCAAAGGCTTTTGACTGTGTGTATCATAATAAGTTATGGCTAACATTGAGAAGAATGGGAATCCCATACCATTTAATTGTGCTCAAGAGAAAACTATACCTAAATAAGAGGTTGTTGTGCAAACAAAAAAAGGAAATAGTATATGGTTGAAAATTAAGAAGGGAGTGTGTCAGGATTATATTCTCTCCCCATACCCCTTTAATCTGTATGCTGAACAAATTCTTTGAGAAGCTGGACTCTATGAAGAAGAATGTGGATAGAAAGATAGGAGGAAAATGGATCAATAACTTGCATTATGCATATGTTACAACCTTGTTTGCTGTGAGGAGGATGTCAAACATTTGTTACAGAAGGACAAAGAATAAAGCCTTTAATATGCATTGCATCTCAATGAAAATAGAATAAAAATTCTTACCGGCAACATCCTGATAAATGGAGAGAAAATTTAAACTTTTGATTGAAAAAGATCACAACGAATTCATTTAACTTAGATCCACAAACACACCCTTGGTACCAGCAGTCAGGAAATCAGGAGACACACTGCATTGGAAAAGTCTACCATCAGAGACCTCTCCAAATTACTGAGGAGTAATGATGCCAGTTTGAATACAAAGTTGATTCTGATTCAGGCCATGGTTTTTGTGATAACTTGTCATACATCTGAGAGCTGGACAATGAATAAATAAGGATGACAAGAATTAATGCCTTTGAACTGTGGTGTTGAAGAAGAGTACTGAGCATTCCATTGACTGTCCAAAGAACAAATACAACTTGGAGAAAGTGCAGACAGAGAGCTCCTTGGAAGTAAAGATGATTAAGCTTCATTACACATACTTTGAGCATGTTACTAAGAGATGTTATTCCTTGGAGAAGGACATCATGCTTGGAAGGAGAGAAGACTGGCAAAGGAGAAGAAGACCTTCAACCAGGTGAATTGACACAATGCCATAATGAGTTTTAGTGTGTCAAGAAGGCTGAGGATGTCACAGCATAAAACAGGGTTCAAGTCTGTTCTTCACAGGGACACTATGGGTTGTACTTGACCCAACAACAACAACAACAATGTACATCAACACTTTTTTCTCTTGTGTTGTCAATACTTATTTTCCAGTCAACATTTCCTGTATTCACTATCTTCAGTGTTTTATGTTATATGGAAGACTATCTTTGAATCCCATGACTATATTTCAATAGACTATTTTGATTTTAGAAGTTGCCATAGGTTTCATATACTTGGATCATTAATCAATGTCCATGGAAGCAGCAATCAGGAAATCAAAGGGCAGATTATATTGGACAAATCAGCTCCAAAATAACTTTTAATATGCCATTGCCAAATATTTTTTTCCCCAGTGTGTAGGTTTTCTTTTCACCCTACTGGAAAAGTTTTTGATGGAGAGAGGGAGTTGATTTTTAGAAAGTCCCAATTGTTGATTTTGTCCTTTCTTGGTTGTGCATTTCTGGCTATATAATCAAGCCTGGTTTTGCCATAGGCTAGGACTTCTAAGTTTGGTCCCATTTTGTCTCATGATCCTATGGTTTGGGACTTTATCCTTAGCTTTTTTATCCACCAGGAATTGATGTTTGTGCATTGTATGGGATATGAATTTTGTATCAGTTTTCTGTCTAGTTTCCCATGTCCAGTTTAACCATATCTTTTGTTGAAGAAGTTACCATTTACCCATCTAATAGGTTTTTATTCCGTGTCAAATATTAATTGACTGTAAGTAGATAGGTTAATTTCAGCATTTTCAACTGCATTCCATTCGTCTATGAGCCTATCATTGTAACAATACCATGTTATTTTTGTTATTATGGAAGTGTGTTGGGTTTTGAGATCAGAGAGTACTATGCTTCCCACTTTATTTTTGTTTTTCATATAGGAGAACCTAGAGAGTATTATGCTGAATGAACTAACTCAGTCTCATACAGACAAATGCTAACTAAGACAATTATTGTAAAAATAGAAAAATTAGTAAGATGTGTACAATGTCCAAAAGAGAGGAATAAGAAAATGTGAAAAGGGTAGGAAAAAAAAAGGAAGGTTGAAAACATTAGGATAACAGAGTTTGTGGGCAAATTGAGAGTGAGGGAACTGGAAAGATTCTAATGAAGCTTGAAAAGATTGTGTAATAATAGGGGTAGATCAATGGTAATTTATTATATGAGGGTGTAAAAAGAGCAGGGGCCATGTTGGGATGTCCACATCTGATCTTTACCGACTTCACGATAGGGGAACTGTACCTGTCTATAGCATCAACAAGAGAAAGTTAATTTCCATGAGGTCAGGTATTTCGCTCCCCCATGTTCTTGTATCTCTTTTCATCTCTACACCAATTATACTGCTTTCCTGGGTCCAGAATCCAATGTGATAGGTCACAGACCACACAGAACCATATTTGGGAAGTCAAGGGTTATAATCCAGATTAATAGTAGTCGGGCAGCTCCCCAAATATGCATACAAGCACGTTAGCATTGAGACTCACAGTTTTAGACCAGTGTCACAAAGTTATTGCTCATGTCAATATTGGCTCTTCCCTCCCTCCAAATTGTACAACAAACCTGAGCAAAGCTTTTTTGCTTACCCTGGTACAATCTTTTGGAGGGTAACGATAAGCTTCACTTCCTGTCATGTGTCTCTGGTCCTCTGCTTTTGTTTTGGCTGCTGCAGTAAGTTTAGCTGGAGCACAATTTCTGGGTCCAAAGGATGTTTTCCTCCTCCTCCTCATCCACCTCCTCAACCTATCCCTTCTCCTCCTCCTCTTTCTCTTTATCCTTCTTTCCTCTTCTTTCTTTTTCTTCTCCTCATGAGGAAGGACTAACCTGCTACTGGAGCTGCTCAATTTATTGACAAAACTAGCCAATCCCTTGTAGATTTGGGAGACTGGCCAATCCCCTTTTGGAATGGTGAGATAGCCAATCCCTTTGAGGGTAGACTAGCTTCCCTATTTGCATATTCCCACCCATCCACATAGTCAAATTGGAATAAATGAAAGTCATACTGAAAGATAAACTCAACAAAGTGTATATGAATAATTGTATTAAACACATTGTAAATGAGGGATTGTATGGAACATAATGCATATGAATTAAACACAATGTAAATGAAATATTGTATGAAAACAAACAAAAAGAGTGAAAAAGGTTTTTTAAGTGTGTAAAAGTGATTGACTCAGGATAGAACAGTATGCATATAGTCAAAAGGAACTTGATAGCACGTAAAAAGAAAACAACATGTCACTTTGAAGGAAAAGTGGGTCTAACTGAAGCCATGGTATTTTAAATACTTCATATGAAAGTATAAATTGCATAATTTATAAGGAATCTTGGAAGCATTTTGAAGTTGATGAAGAATATTGTATATACCATGGACTACCATAAAAATAAACAAATGGGCTTTAGAATGACACTCAAATGTGAGGATGGCAAAAAATCTTCTCATTTAATATTTTGTATTTGTTATTAAGAGAGACCAATGCCTAGAAAAGAACAACGTGTTTAGTAACATGGGGGTGGGGGGACAGAAAAAAAGAAGATTCTTAACAAGGAAGATTGACACAATAGCTGCACAAAAGGTTTAAGCATAGAAATAATTGTGTTGATAATATGGAGCTCTGGTGGCCTAGTGGCAAGAAGCTGTGCTGCAATCCCAAAGAGATGCAATTTTAGGCCACAGCAGGCTTCTCAGGAGAAGGATAAGCAAATTTCCTCCTGTGCAATTAACTGCCTCTGAAAACCTGCTGGTATATACAACAACAACAATATAAGATTGGGCAAAACTTCTGTGGAATGTATTATCTTTATTAGTCAGAACTGACTTGGCCCTAACAAAAACAACAATGGACTGAATTTAATTATACAAGATAAATTACCTAAATTCTTCCAATTTTGTGATATAACAGAGAAAATCTTTCTTAGAAAAGGTCGGATGGTATTATTCAGTCAGTACTACAACATGAATATACTTTGGAAACAGTATGTAAAGTGAAATAAATCAAATGATAAATACTGTACGCTTTGACTTACATGAAATTTCTAAAATAAGAAATAAAGACAATTTACTATTGAATTTCAGGAGATGAAGTGAGAAGATAATAGACAGTTCCTATTAAAAGTACAAAATGTCTAGTGACTTAATTGGCTACATGTTGAACTTCTAACCATAAAGAGTTAGTAGTTAATGTCAACCAGTTGCTCCACTGGAAAAAAGATCAACAATATCCTGTCATAAAGATTGGAAATCTTAGAAAGCTGAAGGAGGGTTGTCATGAGTCAAAACTGAGCAGTAGGCAGTGGGTTGATTTGGTGTGGTTGTTTGGTGTTTGGATGCATGTCTATGTGAGGTGATAACTATTCTGGGGAAATGCTGATAGTGGCGATAGTTGTACAGCATGATGAGTGTAACATATGCCACTTCACTGTATACTGAAGATTAGTTAACACAACAAATATCTTTTTTTTTTTATTTAGTATAAGAGGAAAAAAATGCCCCATTTTATAGAATCATTATATATTTTACATACCCATATAACTTTTATTAATTTTAAGCATTACTATTCTTATTTTAAACAAAACTAAACACATTGTTTATGGTTGTATGTGCTTATGTTCAATAGGAATTAATCCTGGATTTTGTGGTGATCCAGGGACCCCAGCACATGGGTCTAGGCTTGGGGATGAATTTAAGACCAAAAGTCTTCTCCGTTTTTCCTGTGAAATGGGTTACCAGTTAAGGGGATCTCCTGAGCGAACATGCTTGCTTAATGGATCATGGTCAGGCCTGCAACCTGTGTGTGAAGGTAAGTGAGTTACTTTAAAAAAAAAGAGTTAAAACCTTATAATTCATTCTGTAAATACTAAACAGCTTTCACAGAAATCCTAGATATTGAGAAGTTTAGTGAACTTTCCCCCTCTTATATTTATGAAAACATCAACAAAAACTGTGACTAGAAAACACAAAAAAGGTATAAAAGAGTACGTCCCACATGGGTATGACCATATCTGACTTCTACTAACTCCACAAGAGGAAATCCTCCATCATCATCCTCATCTACAATAAAGAACCCATTCTCATGAGGTAAGGCGTATCCCCCATGCTTCTGCACCTATTTCCCTAATTCCAACACAAATCTTACTATTCTACTGGGTCTAGTACAATCCATTGCAATAACTCACAGAGTACACAGAATCATATTCACAATTATGGGGATTATTAGGAAAGCAAAAAAGCTATAATTCAAGTTGGTAAAGTCACTCAGTTATGACAGCTACTGAAATGTGTTCACAGGCCTCTCAGCTTTCAACCTTGTGGCTTTCTTATTCCTGTTCATTTAATACTCTCCATCCTTAGTCCTCCAAGAAACGTGGGCTAAGGCTCCTAGCTCTGGTTCCATGAAGTAGCAGTCCCTTGATCTGTCACTTGAAAGGTCTCTGGTTCTCATCTGAGGCTACTGCTGCTCCTATAGGACTTGGTCTTAGCACCACAGGAATCTTTAGCTTCAAAGGACACACACTTTTCATTCTCCATTTCTTTTGTAGTGATGAGAGTCCTAAAATCTGCTACTAAATCTGTCAGTTAGTTGTGGGATTAGCCAATGCTCTTCTGGACAGGCTAAAACCCTCTACTCACATTTTCCCACCCATCTACATGGCAAAAGAAGTCAAAGGCTAAGAAAGTCATTTAACACTAAATGCTTAACACCACAGGTGGTATCATAAATATTCAAAAAGCTTATATGACATATTCTTAGCCATTGGAATTCATACCCTGCTTTTCTAATCCCTGCCTGAAAATCTACATGTGTGTGTTGGTGGTGTTTTTTGTTTTTTTTAAGTTTTATGAATACTGATACTAATTAATCAGGTAAAAGACAGTATAAACTACTTACATGGATTCCTTCAGAATGCTTTTTTTGTTCTTTAAGTTTTTTTATGGCAAATAGTTTTCATTTCACTTTTTATTTCTAATATGCCAATGAACGTTGTCCAGATTACTATGTTATAAAAGTATTTGAGTTTCTATTTTCTGTTATATTTGATATTGAGCATATTTGAGTGTATTATTGAGGAGACGTATAAATTATAGAGAAGCACCCACCATAAAGATAGTGATGCTTTGAAAGCTCTATTAAATCTACTAACTCCTGTGTAATGAATTTACAATTACTTTAGGCAAAACCAAGATGATACATGATTATAATAAGGTCTTTGGAGTTGAATAACTTACCTAGAGTGTGGATAGAGAAGACCTTCAATGTTAGAAATTCTTTATGTGAGAGTTCTCAACTAATGATAAGATTGTTGTTGTTAAATGAGGTCAAGTCACATACGATTCATAGTGACCCTATGAATGAAAGACCTGAACCCTGTAATGATAAGATTATTGAGTATAAAAAAGTCTATTTATGTCTACAAAACATGTCATACTTTATGTAAGAAAGAAATTTTTATATAACTTGACCACATTGTATAAGGTTACATTATATTACTACCAGAAATATGTTTCTCTAATTGTCAACAAGATGAATTGCCACAGTCATTCTAATGGTGGATTAAGCATTGCAAAGATCATGAGAATGGCCTAAAGTAGGGCAAAGTTCTAAACTGTGGTTACAGGATTCCTATGAGTAGTAGTCAGCTTGACAACACATAACAACAGTGCTATCTTTACTTTCAACTTTCTACCATTTTCTCTCTCTCTCTCTTTCTCTCTCTCTCTCTCTCTCTCTGTCTCTCTCTCTCATATAGATAGGTCCCGATTAATTTAAACAAGAGGCATCCAGTCCACAGCTGATTGTTAACTAAATCAAAATTATAATCATCTTACACTTGATTGTTAACTAACTTAAACATGACAAAACAGTTTACATCTGACTTTCAATTAAATCTAAAAAAAATCTACCTTGCAGAATCCAACTGCTTCACGCAGGAGGCTCCAAACTGGGCCTCTTCCATTCAGTTGGCGAGATAATTGTCTGCCAAATTTCTTGGCATAAACTGGTGAGCACATCCAAGTCAGTTGATATCCCATCATCCTGGGGCCTTATTTTTTGCCAATGCCTTCGATGAAACTTCCACTTCCTCCTTCATTACCATTGGTTCCTGTTCATATGATACTTCTTAAAATTTTAGTGTCAATCAGTTTTCTGGTACACATGTTTTCTGGATTGTTCAATATATTGCCCATAGCATCTTTCAATAGTATGACTCAAGACTTAAATTTGTTTTTCATTACTCTCAGCTAGAAAAATGCAGATCAAGTTCTTCATTTTTGTTCTCCAATTCCAGCTCTCTACACATTCCATTATAATACTTTGCTTTGCCTTCCTGAGCTGCCCTTTGATATCTCTTCAGCTCTTATACCTTGGACTGTTTTCCTTTTGTTTTGGCTTCTCAATACTCCAGTGCCATTTTTAGAGTCTTTTATGACATACAGTACATTTTTTCCCCTTCTCTGCTCCTTTTGCTTTCTTCATGGGTGATGTCCTTGATATCATCCCACGACTCACCTGATCTTCAATCTTTGGTGTTCAATGCCTCAAATGAATTCCTAAGGTGATCTTGAAATTCAGATGGAATTGATTCAAGTTTATTCAGATGGAATTGATTCAAGTCTTATCTTGGTGACTGTGGACTAATTCAAGTTTTTTTTTTGGCCTCAGTTTGAACTTACAATGTGGATAATTGATGGTCTGACCTACAGTCCGCCCCAGCCTAATTTTAACTGCAGATATTGAGCTGTTCCAGTGATTTCTTTCACAAATGTAGTCAATCTCGTTTCTATACAGGCCGTCAACTGAGGTCCGTGTGTAAAGTTGTCATTTGTGTCTTTTAAAAATGGTATTTGCAATAAATAAATAATTGTAAATACAAAATCAATAGTTCTATTTCTAGCCTCATTTCTATCACCAACTCTATATTTTCCAACTACTATTCCTTCTTCACTGTTTTCCACTTTTGCATTCCAGTCTTGATTGTATATTCAGTTAATTTCAGACTGTAAGATTTGGTAAAATTCTCAATACTTTCCTCTTAGGCTCCATATGTAAAAGTCTATTTTTAATAATAATCTTATTAACGGGCTTTCCTTGGATACCTATGGATATTATCCTAACACTCACCACATTGTATTTTAGAATAGAACTTGAATTTGACTTTTTGACTATGAATGCAACACCATTCTATTTTTTTTATTCCCAGCATACTACACATTATGATTATATGATGCAAAGTGGCCAAAGCTCCTTCATTTCATCTCACTAATGCCTTTATGTCACTGTTAATGCTGAGTCATACTCGACATGATGTCACCTAACAACAACATATAGATAGGTAGATAATAGAATGAATGTGGTTGTTGTTGTTGAGTACCGTTGAGGCAGAACAAACCCATAGCTGACCCACCAGTGGGTTTTCAGGGGAAGCTAATCACACAAGAGGAGATTGCTCATAATTACCCTGTGAATTCAAACAGCAAGCCTTTGTCATTGCAGTGTAGCTTCTTACCACTAGACCTCCAGGGCTCATGATATATAAAGTAATATTTTCTATATAAACAAGGCAAACACACAAGCATACATAGCAAATGATCTGAGTAGATGAACTATATGAAAATCACATCATAGTATCAGAAGTAAAGAAAACTCTTTAACTGAGTAATATACAGGATAACACAAACTTTAACGTGCTTAGTACTGAAGATCAAACTTTCAATTTGGATTATATCTGAACTCATACATGTTTTAGGGAAAATAAATATTTTTGCTCTAATTTTTTATACTTTTTGCCTTATATGTTCTTTGTGTATTTTTTAAGGAAATCTATAAACTACTTATTCAACAATTTAAGTAGGGAATAGATATGGATCAGTTAGTGATTGAAGGATTATCTCAATTTTCTGTTTGTAAAACAAGAAAACTTTTTTTTCAAGAATACATAATGAATTATTGAACTTAATTTTTCTGTTTCAAAATCTAAATTTGTGAGATGAATGAAAATTTAATCACTTTCTGGAAAATCTAAAATATTAAATAATCTATAAAGGATGATTGTTCACTTGGGCAGTGCATTCTACATTGAGTTTACACCAGGCACTTTATTTGTGCAAATTAAAAAGGTGTAAAGTTGATAGTGAGTAAATATTTTTCCCGACAGAAAGCTTACTATTTTAAAGGTGTTCTAATACTATACTTTCTATTTCAGCAAAACATAAACAAATTAATTTGTTCCAATTATTGTTGTAGTTATGTGCCTTTGAGTCGCTTGTTACTCATAGCGACTCTATGTACAAGAGCCCTAAATGACATTCTATC